GCTCAGACAAACGTTTGAACCGCCTAGAGCTGAGTTCAGAGTTCGAACTGAACTCTTGAAGCTCAAGCAAGGTAAGCGTGATGTGCACGCTTACGCACAATATATACGACATCTCACGAGTTGTATAAGTTCCAACCCGGTTGATGAACACACGTTGGTTTCGGTGTTCATGCAGGGTCTTGCGAATGGTCCCGTCAAGACTCACCTGTTCCGACTTGAACTAGATTCACTAGAACAAGCAATTTCCATTGCGGAACAGGAAGACTTCAGTCTGAGACAGGCTTGCGCCAGCTCGACATCATATCGTCAACCGAGAAGATATGACAGCGGAGGTCCAGAGCCGATGGAGCTCTGTTATGTAGAGAGCGATAAGGCTCGCTCTACAGACTACAAGAAGTTGCAGAAATGCAACAGATGTCAGAAGACAGGACACTACGCTTACGAGTGTAGTGCCCCTCGTCCAGTGTCTCGCAACACTGGGCGTAATGACCGTCCACCGATGAGAAAGGGGCAGGGACGCGGTTCAGCTGTTGGTGCAAAGACGCAACAACGGGATGGACCGTCAAAAAACGGACAGGATCAGTAGGTGCGGAGCACCCTACTGGTCCAGCAACGTCAAGAGAATTTGTAGGCCTCTTGATGAAGGTTGCTCCCAACACACAAACATTGTGCGTTGCTGCTCTAGGTAATGAGATCTCACTCGTTACCTTGAAACTCGAAGTGACAAATAAGTTGTCCCTTCGAGCTCTAGTCGATTGTGGGGCGTCCAACAATTTTGTGCGACGCCAATCGCTAGAAGATGGTCACTTTAAGTTCAGTGAATGTGACACACCTCCTACGAGGATGACGGTACGTCTTGCGACAGGCGCATCCGTAACCGTCATGAAGCGTATAGTGTAGATCCACTATACGCTAGAAGATACCCAATATGATGATGACTTTGTCGTATTGGATTTGGATGACGAATTTGATGTCATCCTTGGAATACAGTGGCTCAGAAGGTACGAACCACGGGTAAACTGGCAACATCGAACAGTAACGACGCCTGCCGCTTGTTCATCAGATGGCCATCTGATGAACGTTTCGGAGCGTCCAAAAGCGTGTGGATGTACTACGAGTGAGTGCGATGGCCTCATTTGTGGTACGGTCGTTAGCACGACTGCACAAAACCTTAGTGTGACAAACGGTTACACTTCGGAGCAAAGTTCCGGCGGCTATGAGAAAACACAGGCTGCGCCGAAGGTCCACCACTCGAATAAGTCGATTGGACCGGGACGAAGATTTATCCCTAGCGGGGAGCATCTGGAAGAGAAACCATCGATCGCTCAGTTTAAGCGAAACGATAATCCTAGATCGACTGGAGAGTCTTTCGTAGAGGATCTCGCTGTGGTTGCGCAATCCCAGCTAGAGGAAGTAAAGGGAATAAGTCCCGATATTACAGATACGGCGGAAATAAGCTCCCCGAAACCCGCAGGAATAAGTCCCCGGGAAGCCGAAGGAATAAGTCCTTCGAAGCCTGAGGGAATAAGTCCCCAGGAAATGACAGAGACATTGAATGTCATAGTCAATAACGGATCAAGCGTAGGCGCTTGTACACTTGATCTGATTGCGCCTCCGAAGTTGACTTCGGAGATCACTCAGTTACCAACGCTCGAACATAAAAGGTTCTTGCGTGATCTGCGTAGTGGCAAAGTCAAGCAGATCTGCGTACTCGTCGCTGACGACGAGAGTGTAGCCGACATAAGGTCAGCGACAATGTTTACTGAGAACGAGAGAGTTCTCAGTAGTTCATCTATGGACGAGAGCGTCCTGGATGAAAAGACACGAGTTGAGCGACATGAATCCCAATCGTGGGAATCGCTCAAGACAAATCCTCTCTATGAAGATTTGGTTGAATTCAAGGATGTATTCCCTGAAACTGTTCCGTATGAGTTACCGAAGGATAAAGGTATTCGACACGAGGTCGAGCTTAAACCAGGCTCGAAGTACTGTGTCATGAAGCAGTGGCCACTGCCTCATGAACAAGTACTTGCGATCGACAAGTTCTTTGCCAATCGTTTAGCTGCGGGCCATGTGAGGGAATCAACTTCCCCACATAGCTCTCCGACCTTCTGTGTGCGAAAAGAAACAGGAGGGTGGCGGATAGTGCATGCATTTAACAAGTTGAATGCTGCAACGGTACCGGCTCAGACGCCGATGCTAAGGAAGGACGTAATCATTGATGGTATGTCAAAGAGTACCATCTTTTCGTCCATGGATTTGATGGATGGCTTCTATAAAATCCTTATGCGAGAACGGGATATACCCTATACCGCAGTGAGCACGCCTAGCGGCATGCTCTGGGAATGGCTAGTAATGCCACAAGGGCTTAGTAATGCCCCTGCCACGTTCAACAGATGTGTATCACATCTGTTGAGACCAGTACGCGAACTCGCGCCGAATTATTTCGATGACGTTATCATCCGTAGTCGGGCTATGGATGGAAAGTTGGACGTTGAGGTTCACAGGTACCACGTCCGACAGGTTCTTACAATCATGCGAAAGCATCAATCGTATGCAAACCTCAAGAAGTGTATATTTGCAGCAAGCGAAATAGCACTTCTTGGGTGCAACGTTGGTAAGAACGGAGTACGTCCTGATCCCGAAAAGATCAAGGCGATCACCGACTGGCCTGTGCCGGTTGATGTCAAAGGTCTTCGAAAATTCCTTGGGCTAGCGGCGTATTTGCACAAGTATTCACGCAATTACGCCGAGATGACTGTGCACCTCTCTCGTTTGTTGAAATAGAACGAGAGGTGGTTATGGAACGCTGAATGTCAGCACTCCTTTGATGGTATCAAGAAGAGCTTGATACAATCCCCAGTCCTAGCAATAGCCGATCAGGACAGGCCATTTCATGTGGTCTGTGATGCCAGCGATTTCTCAATCGGCTGTGCATTAATGCAGTACGATCTTGAAGGCGTTGAACGCGTCGTCTGCTATCAGTCACGTCAGCTGCAACCAGCTGAGCGGAGCTATCCAGTGCATGACAAGGAACTCCTTGCCATGAAGTATGCACTCGCGAAGTTCAGAGTCTATCTATTATGAGATAGACCCTTCATTGTTTACACTGACCATGCGTCATTACGCACGGCAGTGAACAGCCCGCACCTTTCACAACGAATGGCGCGGTGGTTGTCATTCTTTGCGGAATACAACTTTACGGTCGAGTACAAACCAGGACGACTTAATGTCGTCGCTGATGCACTCTCACGTCGTCCCGACTTTGAACCAGTCGTGAAACCCAACAGTGAGACAGTCACTGTTGCGGTTATGACGTACTCAGTACCATCTTCAACGTTGAAAGATGATGTGAGGCGGGCATACGCCCAAGATGGTGAGATTGTGAACTTGTTGACACATCTCTCCCAACCATCCCGAGAATCGTTGAAACGATTGTCGCCTGCGTATCGATCTGCATCAGATCGATACACTGCTCGTAACGGTTTACTGTATTATACAGCCGTTTCTGGTGACACACCACGTGTTGTCATTCCAGATGATACTGATCTGCGTTTGCGGATCATGTTCGAGTATCACGATGCTCCTATAGGAGGGCATCGTGGCCGGGAGAAAACATGTCTCACGGTGAGTCGAGACTTTTACTGGCCCCGCCAGTATCAGTTTGTGCGCAAATATGTTCGCGCATGCGAAGTCTGTCAACGAGTGAAGTCAAGTCCTTCACTGCGTGCGCCTTTACAGCCTCTACCAGTTCCGGCAAAGCGCTGGGAATCCATCTCAATGGATTCCGTCTTCGGGTTACCCAAAATTGCACGCAAGAATACGGGTATTCTCGTATTTGTTGACAGATTCAGCAAAATGGTACACCTAGTGGCTGTACCAGAGTCAATCACGGCAAGTGGCTGTGCTTGTGTCTTTATCGACACCATCTTCCGACTTCATGGGCTACCCCGTGAACTCGTATCAGACAGAGATCCACGATTCACTGCTGATTTCTGGCGTTTCGTGTTCAAATCACTTGGAACGCGCTTGAAGATGTCTACATCTGATCATCCAGAGTCAGATGGTCAGACGGAACGTGCCAATCGTGTCCTCGAAGAGATACTTCGAGGATACGTACACTCCTTCAAAAGTTGGAGTGAGTTCTTGCTCATGGTAGAGTTTGCCATTAACAACTCGGTGCATGCTTCCACGACACATACATCGTTTTACGTGAATGGCTTGCGCCATCCGCGTGTACCTACCTTACCAGAGTGTAACTCTGGTTTAAGGGGGGGGGACTCGCGCGAGCAAAAACTGATTTGGTTCACGCTCATCACGCTCTGACGAAGAGGTCATTGCGTTTGATGCCGATATCGATTACATCTATATCGAAGAGGATGATGCCAGTGAGAGTGCGGAAGCCCTCACTGAAGAAAAGATTGATGTTGCTGCAGTGCACTCGCAGCGCACTGAAGCTAACGAGTCATCAGATGAGTTCATACTGGCTCGTGAAACGGTAGTCCGTTTTGTGCAAGACTCCATCGCCGAAGCGGAGGATAAGCAAAAGCAATACGCTGACAAGAATGGAAGGGCAAACACTCTTTTATTTATTAAAGGTGACTTAGTCCTACTGTCTACGGTTAATCTACCAAAGCATGTAGTGACTAACTTGGGTAGTAGTTTACTACTACCCAAGTACATCGGCCCATTTCGTGTATTGCACCGCCTAGGCAATGCATACACGATCGAATTGACACGTAAGATGCGAACACATCCCACATTTTACGTTGTTCGGCTTAAGCAGTACCATCAGTACGCTGCTTCTTCCGATGAAGAACGCCCTTGCGCTGAAGCATCTCGCAGAGAGCCTTGTGCTCCCGATGGTGGGCATCGACAAGGGTCTGAAGAGCAGTTAACTCATCCCGAGACCGATCAACAATCCCACGAGCTACCCTTAGCTCGTCACGCAGAGACGTCAAAGCTCTCTCGTTCTCAAGCTGAGAAAAGGCAAACTCAGCTCAATGCTTCGAGACAGTGTCCGCCATTTGGAGACGCCTGTCCCGCTCATGTTCGAGATCGCCGCGTAACGCTTGCGTTACGCGATCAAAGAAGCTCTTGGGAACACACGGATCCCCACGATTGTGTGGAGAGCGTCTTCCCTCCTCCTCCACCTCCATTAGAGGACTCTCGCGGTGGCCAGCGCTATCTGGTTGAGCAGCTGTTAAACCACCGCGACGTGAACGGACGTCGGACGAGTTATATCGTCCGGTGGCGCGGCTATCCCCCGTCCTGGGATACTTGGGAGCCCCGCTCCCAACTGATGGTTGACGTACTGGGTCTGGTTGAGCAGTACGACGCGGCACATCCTGTGCCGCAGAAGGACCGCCGGAGAAAGTCTTCCCGGCACGGTCGTAAAGGGATTTCAGGTTGTCAATCCCTTCGTACATCTCAGTAGAGATACGTACGCGCCACCACGGGCTAGTTAGGAGGTAAGCCTCCTTAGGTGCTCATGCAGAGTTGTTCACACAACATGGGCACGAGTCTCCTCAAGAGAGGCAGGGTAATCCTTTCTCCCTTGACAGACGATGCAGATTGTAGCGTGCACCTGTCGGGGTTCGCTTTTCAAACTTATCACGAGCTTTGATAAGTTTGTCGTTCCAAACGTCACAACCTACATCCTTAAGGTTATGTATGTAGGCGGTTCACGCTTGAAGCAGTGAGGGACCATCACGTTTGTGATTCCCACTGTACCATCGATGTTTAAAGAAAGCTTCGATGAAGAAATCGTTCTCAGCGCGATAGTTTTTCGCACTGGGGTCAAGGTGATGGATCCTTGACGAATCGAACAATCGTGTTCGATAACGATCACTCGTCGTCGCCGACAAGTGATCCATGACGGATTTTGGAGGCATCCATGCCTTCTTCTCAGGAGCGAGACGCAAGACACTGCGGTCCCGCTCTTCCTGCGACGTGCCGACAGAAGTACTGGCACCTCGTTGCGAAGTGGTGTCAATAGGAGAACCGACACCACTGATAGCGCCCGAGTCTCGCGACCTCGAGCGCCTTCGCTTCGGCGATGGTTCATCTGATTCATCAGATGAACCAAAGATGCTACGACGAATAGCATCATCCATGCCACGCTTGGCAGGCGGCTTGGATTCGATCGCCGTCGATACGCATCCGTCTTCCGTATCAGGAGAGTATGAGACACCGAGCTCATACTCTGTGAAGACATGAGCGTCTTCATGACCAGCGCCTGCATCACCAAGTGACACAGACTAAGTCGCTTCAACAACCGATGAGACATCAGTTGCTGTGGTTTCTGCTTCGGCGTCCGCACAGAGACGTGCGGACGCGCTCTCGGCGGCCTTGCTCGCGCATCGCATGGGCTTGTTAACCATGCGATGAAATGTTGGAAAGTGGACTCGGACCAACAAGTGCAAACCCTGTCCCAAATGATTTGGGACGAGTATCCATTTAGTCAATCAGTCACTAAAGTGACTGATGGTTAGGGGGGGTGATGTAACGAGGTGAATCGTTACATAACAATTTATAAGAAATTGTTAATAGAATATAACTATAAGAGTTATATTCTCAGAATATTGTCATAAGGACAAATATTCTGCAGCACTTACGAGTAGTTCCTAATTGGTTGATATAGGCCATTATATATACCAACGAAGACGCGCCACGACAGACGCAAGCAATGAGTGGTGAGCAGATAGTTGATATGCACATTTGTATTCAGTCATAGTTAGATGAGGATAAACAGGGGGTGTATTACAGACGTTAACTATGATAAATACAGTTCTACTTTTTACTTTAACCAAGTACTCGCTTCTTCTTACCGTCTTCCTCTGCACGTACGAGTGTACGTGAAGTTCCGAGGCACCGCCTTATTCTGTCATCAGAATAAGTAGCTTGTACTGTTACCAATACAAGCTTCAGGGTGCCCCGTTACATCCAGGCGATACATTAAGACGATTCTACTCCCGGTTGGCGCATAATTCTAGGACAACACTTTCATTTGACTAGGCTTCAAAGATACTTTCGGGTCGAATAGGTCACAGGAACTTGCTGATGTAGTGGAAGATCGGTGGAAACGAATTATGACTACCTCTTTCGACCGTTCCGATACAACAGCCGCGTTTTTAAGCTGAGTATACCGGCTGACCCCAGCTGATGGTTCAAGTCTCTAATATCGACCGAAAATGCCAGTGTAGCCTTAGAGGGACTAATACGTGTGAAAGCTGCAGATCTGTACGACTCAACAGTACTTTTTACCGAAATTACACAAAGGAGCTTGCACCTACCTTAGCCGCACTGTACACACGATGGATGAAGTGCGGCTTGCTACCGGAGTCGTTTGGAGACGTACACATCTAGTGCTTTAGAAAAAGGTGGCTTTTGCATTTCCCCTCGATCATCACCATATCGCGCTACTCAACAGTGACCACAAACCCTTTGCCAAGGTTCTGTCGTTTCTAGTGCGACCACTACCCTCACACATAGTTTTGTTAGCCCAAATTGGATTTGTCCCAAAGGGCTATAATTCTTCAGCTCTGGGCATATTCAAGGCGGTAGCAACGCGATGAGGGCAGATAGCTATGCACGGAGCCATTTTTCTGCTACTCTATTTTGTAAAGGCGAACGACACGCTGCAACGTCCTAACCCACTATTTACTTTGCCATGGACTAAATTTTTGTCTGTATTTGTTAAAGTGGTGAAGTCATTAAACCGCGGCATCACATGTCGGTTTGTTGTGGATGGAAATCGCAAGCCGACGGTAATTTTATTGTAAAATTTGGCAGAGGTTACCAATTGCGCCACATCTATGTATACTCGCCTTCGATAATGATTTCAGGTGATCCAAGAGAGAATGGACATTCTTGGGGTGCCTCTTACATCTGTTAAGCTGTGCACTGGATTTAAAGTCTTAAGATACGCTGATGATACGGCCGTCTACCTGCGCGATCTGGCTGCGATATTGCAGATTTCCACAATTCTTGATGATTTCGCTAGCGTTTCGGGCCTGGTGACAAACCACGCGAAATCAGTGATCGTTGCACTGAACCCTCGGAGGTCAGTACTGCCTCTGATCACTTTTGGTTATACTTTGCTGACTATAAAGCAAACTATGCCGATATCTGGGTATGCTGGTGGTTAACAGGATGCGGTGGAGGACAAATGGAATAAATGCGTACGATCTATCAAGAGCAGTATTGGGATATCCAGAGAGATCATCACCCCGCGGTGAAACAACGGGAAAATTTGCTAGTGCCATTGCGGTGCCCAAGATCGCCTTCCTATCACGGCACCGCTGGCCTCCATTTATCCGTTATGACCCGGTTGAAAGCGTTGATCCAGGAATTTGTTGGGGTGTCCGGGATGGTAAGAGGTCCAGACTTCGACTCCCTGACGATGTGGCTTGCTGTGCCGTGCATTTAAACGAAGTTGTTGACTATGGCAAAAAAGGGTGTTAAACAGTGGGCAGAAACAGCGTCTTAAGGACATATTATTGATTAAGGACTACTCGTGGGGCTATATATTGGGTCTGTTCCGCCGTAAATAAAGCCTTGTTGGAGTCAAGACAAGCATTTTAAGATATCCTTCTACTCTTTGGAAACCGATTCCAAAATTTTTTACTTTCTGCGGCTTGAGTGTGCGCCAAGTAGACGTCACGGAAGTCTGTCGAAGGGGCATCTCGTTTACGTCACAATCTGAAAATGTCTATAACATCGACGGCAGTGTCACGATTTATGTTCGGAGGTTAGCTGATGACAATATCCGAGTCATTATGCGAGCTGAAGCGGGAAAATATGAGAAGATTTGACCACCGGTGGATCCAACACGCAACGTCGACGATAAGTCATGGCTGCGGGACCTCCGGGGGAAGGTCAAAAATCTGAATACGACGGAATTTTCGAGAGGAAAGATTTACCTTGGTGTTAACATAATGTTTTGGAAGCTTGGCCAAAGTAGAATCGTAAAGTTTTTGGCGCGGCTCAACATGGCAACCCGATCAATGGCAAAAAGTCAGCACTTTGGTTCATTTGGCCTCTCCCTTCCCTACAACTTTCTGACACTCGTGCTTCGTGCAATTGGCCCGGGTTGCTTACTTGCTTACTCAACCAAGGTCCACCGATATCATGACTGGACACTGAACAGCGAAGGGACGTTGCTGGCCCAGTTCGATACGGGCATGGAGTGTGAAGTGACACCAGTCTAGTCGATGTCCTCGTGCGATATAGCAGCATCTCAAGAAGGGGGCACTTTTGTATGCTTTGGAGCTCACCCAGCTCTCACCCGCGTCGTCTATATCTAGGCAAGATGACGGCGATGGCGTCCGCACCGACGCAAAATCGAGCAGGCTATTTTCAAACGACGGTGCGTGAAAGGAAAACGAATTCTCGACGAGCAGGTGGAAAAGAGGGACTTTCACATCATTCCTGATAGGGCATCTCTTGGAAGTGCATGATGCACAAGTTTTGACTCCAGAGATTCGACCCATGAAAGAGTATGTGTAGATGTTCTTTAAGGTTCTATGCATTATAATAGATCGTACAGCAGCTAGATGTATGGATAGCTCTCACTTGTAGATTGACAAACCACTGATGAAGCCCCCGGCGGGGGGCCGAAACGCGTCTGGTGCACGGTAATATACAAGTACTCTACTTTACATAGCTACTACTTCTAATAGCATCACTATTTACTTGGATTGAGATACGCCGGGTGAGAGCATCTTTCCCGACCAATTTACAAATGTGGTATCGCCTTATGAGCAACAGCTTCCCACAATGGAATTGGGCGAGCCAGGATCTGTCGTGTTCCGTGCCCGGGTATTCTTGTACCCTTCCTTTCGTGGAGCGACATGTATTTTGGACCTGCTCCAACGCGAGTCGACACTGTAAGCATCTTTTTATGATGTGGAGCCCGCTTGGAGAATTCAAAATGATGAGATTCAACCTATGAGCGTTTGGGATTAATCTTACTGAGGTTTCGCACAAGGCTTGGGATCCTACAAGGCTTGGGATCCTATCAAACGAACCTTCACTCGAGGCGTTGAGGTGATGGAGGCGAAGGACGCGTTATTCCCGGCCGTATATGAACTCTGGCGTTTTGCCGTCTCCACGACACTTCGTGCTATCTAGTTAGAGCGGCTCCACCGTACGGACGACCCGTCCTTGACGGAGGAGACATATATCGCCAGAGCCGAGACACAATTTGGGCGTGCGATAACCCGTTTCAAAGGGGTCCGTAGTACCAGCCGGACATGAACAAAGACGGAGATCTGTTCGCGCGAGTGAGGTCAGCGTTGGCGTACATTATCCTCTACGTCGAAGAACCACCAGCGATGCAGGTGTTACCCATTCGCCGATGCCCTGGAATGATATTCCTGCTATCACTCGACGGCAGATCTTGAGGAAACTCTGGAACGGGCAGATCTGGGTATTGTCCAACTCAACATTGCGACGCACGCCGCTTGCGTTGTGTGGGTATAGAGCATGGCGTATAGCGCTTCCGATACCACAAACGATACAGCCGAATACTGGGGGGGGCTTGTACGCGTTCTACGTTACGCGAAGGTGTCTGGCTACTCCCCGCTGCATACCGTTGGAGATATTGGGATGGTGCTCTCACAGCTTTGGACCCATCATGCCCCACAGAAGGCCCGCTTGGCGCCGCTATTTTGGGACGCGCGTGCCCTTGCGTGCAATCTTGAAATCTCCAGTTGGGTCCATCACTACTGCACCTACAACAAAATGGCTGATCGACGAGAAAATATAGGGATGGATACAACGGACTTAATCAGGTCGATTGTTCTACAGATTACGAGGTTGTTTTGGAAGCTACGGCATTTCTTGACAACGATGCCAACCACTAGATGGAGGCATCACAAGCAGAACAACACGAGCTACAGGGCCTTGTGTTGGCTCCGAGGAACCTAATTCGATCGTGGTGAGACTCAGCGCGAAGACGCTCGGCTCTTCGTGGACTAGTACTGTAACGGGGTGAATTGTTGCATAACAATTTATAAGAAATTGTTAATAGAATATAACTATAAGAGTCATACTCTCAGAATATTGTCATAAGGACAAATATTCTGCAGCACTTACGAGTAGTTCCTAATTGGTTGATATAGGCCATTATATATACCAACGAAGACGCGCAACGACAGACGCACGCAATGAGTGGTAAGCAGATAGTTGATATGCACATTTGTATTCAGTCATAGTTAGATGAGGATAAACAGGGGGTGTATTACAGACGTTAACTATGATAAATACAGTTCTACTTTTTACTTTAACCAAGTACTCGCTTCTTCTACCGTCTTCCTCTGCACGTACGAGTGTACGTGAAGTTCCGAGGCGGTGCCTATTCTGTCATCAGAATAAGTAGATTGTACTGTCACCAGTACAAGCTTCAGGGTGCCCCGTTACAAGTGCTACCTAGTAAATAAAGTAGACGTCGCTTTGGCGACACTGCTACCAGGTCGCAGGATAGAATGGGTCGCAAGCGTACCTGAATATGCCTCACCTCACCCTCACTACCTGATCACAGAGATAGTCGATCCGCACCTCCGCATCGTGTGACTTGATGCACCACCTTGACTGGTTGGGGTATTATACGTTGCGATGGAATAGCGATTCGGTAATTCTCGAAAGCATCAAAAGACATTATGCGTGTTGCCATCGACCCGATCTTCGTGCGTTTTCGAAATGAGCCATGCTGGGGTGTGCTAGACTAGGTGGATACATCCCAACCAGATGACAGCCTAGGCACGATGCAAGATCTGCCAAGCGTTCACACGTCAATACACTACATCACGTCGCTTATGATATCGCTATGACCTCGCCAGAACTTCTCTATCCCCGATACGTCAGTAAACAACTCAAATCACAAAACACTCGCACTCTCTCTCTCTTGCACTCCTTTCGTGCCTAATCCTCCCTACCAGCATGTTCCAGCCGCCCACACGAGCCCCCAAAGATACCTCCGTACATACGTCCCTTCAAGAACGACCCCACAGTCCGTCAGTCCATTCGCCAATTTCGACCATCACCTGATAACAACTTCATAGTCAAGAAGACCGACACAGGACTGAAAGACTACCTAGCACCAAGTGAGTAGCTAGCTAGCCAGCGATCCTTCCGTCCATCTCCCCCTCTCTCTCATGGTCTTTGTCACGCTCAAGTACATCATCATTGGCGACTCGGAAGTGGGCAAGTCGTCGCTCTTGCTCCAGTTCACCGAGCAGCACTTCCAGTCCGTCCACGACTTGACCATTGGCGTGGAATTCGGCGCCAAGTTGCTCCACGTGGACGGCCGCAACGTGAAGCTCGAGATCTGGGACACGGCGGGCCAAGAGACGTTTCTGTCGATCACCAGGAGTTACTATCGCGGGGCAGACGGGGCTCTGCTCGTGTACGACGTGAGTCGACGCGCGAGTTTCGACCACTTGAGTCGATGGCTACACGAGTGCCGTCAAAATTGTCACAATGACGAGGTGGAGATCCTCGTTGTGGGCATGAAGTGCGACGTGCAAGAGACGGAGCGGGAGGTGCCGGAAGAAGAAGGACGGACGTGGGCGAGAGCGCACGGCCTCGGGTTTATGGAGGCGTCGGCCAAGACGGCGACAAATGTCGAGCAGGTACGGAATTGGACAGAGAGAGAGGAGCTGTTGACTCAATGGTAACTGATGTTGATGCTGCTGTTGCTGTTGGTGTTGTTGGTGGTGGTGGTGGTGGTAGGCGTTTGCGGTGACGGCGACGACGATATTGCAGAATTATGATTACTCGAGTCATAAGGTGGGTCGGAGTTCGGGGGCAAGTGTCGCCGTGTCGGTGGATGCTGCAGCTGCTGCTGTGGAGCATCAAGCAACACCGACAACGTCCGGGTGTTGCGGTGGATGATAGAGAGAGAGAGAGAGGGATTGACAGGGTAAGGTCAGGTCGGTCGTGCTGCAAGCACAAGTGACGACGGTATATATCTACCAGCAACACCAGCACCCTCCGGATTCACTCATCGATTGGCCTCTTTCTCGCTTCTTGTTGTCAGTTCCCCCCGCCGCCGCGGCTCTCAGTTGCTCGAAGTGGTGGGTGCGTCGGTTAGCAGTTCCTGTACCCATTCGCCAATGAGGTTGTTGCCTGTGGCCAGATAGTGGGCGTAGTGGGTGTGGAGACACTTGACGTTCGTAAAGTCACGGATACCAGCGATTCCGACGTCACGCAGGACAAACTCCCACCGTCGACTCTTGACAAGCGCCACGTCGTCTGGCGTCATCATGTTCCAACGCTCTGCTGCATACTCGCGATGGCATTGTGCCATTTTCTACATTGTCACATGGTAGAAAATGGCCAAACCAACACGTCACACCGAAACCCAACACGGTCAAAAAGAGCTCTGGAAACCATAAATAAGAGCGCTTCGAAACGTCAAAAAGAGCTCTTGGGAGCGTCAAAAAGAGCTCTTGGGAGCGTCAAAAAGAGCTCTTGGGGGACAATAATGACCGAAAGCGCACCACGTCTCAGTGGCAGCCGATTAGTTCGTTTTCGGGACCCACCTCCTTTGCGCCTTCATCAGTGTCCAGTCGATGCTGCAATGTCAGTACAAACTGCTGGTCTTCTAATGCCGATACACGAGCCTTGAGCTGTGGTGACGACAGCCAGTAGATGGTTGGAAACGGCTCCACGAGCGCGCGCTGCTTCTTCTTGTACGCACTTTCGGCATTCCGAAGCGGATACAGCAGCAGCACTGCAGGTCGATAATCCGTCGAGTCGCCACTGCGCGACGCGCATCCGTTGTGGTCAACAAAGGCGCTCACACGAACGAGGTTCGTGGGCACAAAGCCCAAGTCTTGACGCACAAGTGCTACTTCAGCTGGTGTCGCCTCGCATGAGAGACCTGTGTGCATCATTAAAAGTGCATGTGGACCTTGAGTTGCGTTAGTGAAAATCGGGCCAAGCTGTGGCCCGAAAGGAATCGTGTGGTGCCGTGTGGTGCACACTGAACAGGATGATCGAAGAGAGTTCTTGACATAGCTACGTATTTCAGTGTCATTTATGCGTGATCGAGTGGGTTTGAAATTAGCCGTTTCTATCCAGCAAGCGTGTTAACTGCCAACCGGTGGTAGTTAACAGCAAACATTTGACAGTGTGCGGTTAAAGTCGAATTCGCTTCGGGTGCGCCGTAAGTACTGATTTGCAGCAATAATGCTGTCTAGATTGTCGTAGAGATCCTGTTATGCTGCTTAAGTTCGCGGACATTGTTGTCTATTCAGGACCAGAAAAATCCGGCCTGTCGACACATTGTGCAGCACTGCAAATAAACCGGTCCAAATCCTCGCAGTCCTTATAGCAACAGAACGGATCGATGCACCGCTTCAACATCTGCCATGTCTTCGCTTGTCTACAAATTTTGGGTAGTCCATAGCTGACAGTTTCTGAGTGTCATTTGGCATTGCAATCTTGTTCTTCGTTTGCTACCCAAGCGTGTGAGGCAAAAGGGGTGGACCCCTGGTGTAGTGGCGCAGTAAGCTGACTTCCAAGTCGCTGATTGCGGGTTCGAACCCCCCCGGGGGCCGAAACCGGAATTAGTAACGGTTGAACAGCTGAATAACCATGCCTTCCACCAACAAACCATCTGGGAGATGCCGTAAAAAGTATAATGTGACGAATTCAACCAAGCGTGTGAGGCAAGTCACTTACTTATGGCATTCGTGAAAGATATCGCGATTACGAGAAGGGAACTATGTAGAGATTCGAGTCCTGGCTAGTGGCAGTTGAGTGGCCCTCATCCTCTTCACATTAAGCTATGTTTGACGAGCTATGGCTTGCTTTGCGCTTGGTGCACTTGTATATGAGGACTCGTCATGGTGTCGTGCAGACTTCAAGATGCCAAACAAGCATTCAAGTCGGAGGAAACGACTTGTAGATGTGAGCTACGATCGACGCGGTTATTGCCGTAGCAAATCGTCTATAGGCTCCATCAAGACGAATGGGATCGCCGTGGCTTCTGCAGACTTTTACTTTGTACATTACTACCGTCTATGCCATTCGCAAAGCCATTCTCGACACGACCGAGATGGCGTGGCTAATTCCAAGGATACTTCGTGGCTCGATTCTAGCTACCTTGTCGCATCAAAAGCTTGCGCATCGCGGGCAGTTGACTGTACAACACAGCAGTGTTCATTATGTAAACGTGTGTTCAGGATTCACCTGCTTTGCACGGCAACGTCACCAGAATCGTTTGAAATGTCATTCGATGATGGTAGAATGTCTGCACGAGAGCAAATTGAGTAGCAGACGTGTTCACCATCACTGCGACTGATGACGACGAGCCCAGTCGGCAGTGCGGGCAAATGCCTGTCAGATAATGATCGATAGACCAGGTCGCTTGCTAACTTACTCGCGTATCCCATGAACTGTCGTAAAGAGCGTGCAGTAAAACAGGGCCTCGACATCCGCAATAAACCAGCCTGCTACAACTATCTAACGTCGACGGGACCGTAAATTGTGAAGACTCTTACGTGCTCGCATTAATAAGCACGCCATCCCACAATGCAGTCGCAGCATGATTCCTTCTCGAGTGCGCGACCTTAGACTTCCCGTCCCCCCTATTCACATCTAATAAAAAAGGCGTCGTTCCCTCACACTAGCGCTTGCGCCAAGCCTGAATAAACCCAGAATCGCAATGTATCAGCAAACGGTTGGCACTCGATCACTCAATCCCAGTCACGATACATACCAGCAAATACACACAACTCTTCAGCTTCTCACTATGAGAAAATATTCACGCCGGCCGACAGCGCTTCAACGTCGAGACGTGATCTGCCATTCCTGAATTCGGATATGGAGAGCAAAGGCATTCCTCCCACCCCATCAACTGACATGACCGAAGCCGAACGAGTACGCGCCGACTGTCGCGAGCTTTACCGCCGTGAACGGTTGTCCTCCACCCAACTCCTCGAACTAGAAACATCGCTCACTTCCTCCTCTTCCTCTCCCGACGCCATCCGCAAACGCGTCTCATCGCTCCTTTTGCACGACTTCGACTTGACCATTGAACGCATGCGACTAGAGCGCAACGAGCACGAACAAAAGTCGATCGGCGTCTCCGAGCTCGCAGCTGTCGCTGCAGGCGGCGCTCTGGGTGCAATTTCCGCCTGGATGCGGCCAACAGCTAACCTGACACAACCGACGCTCTGGACCAGTGCGGTGGACAATGCCGTCGCCACTTTGAACGTGGCCAAGCACAAGCGGAGCGTGCAGCAGCTCCGGCTGCAGTTAATGAGCGGCGACGTGGCCACCTGCCGCCACGTCGTGCTCTGCATCAACGGCTTCATGACCCAGAGTGACGACCCGGGTCGCAACTGGCGCTCTTGGACACCCGACGACCAACCGGACGTCGCGGTGTTTGCCGTGCACTGGGAAGCCGGCGATGCCGGTGCCTGGAATGACTTTTGCGCCCACGTGAACGCGAACTTTGCCACCTCGTCGGCCTTGGGTATGCTCACCCACTTTACAGGCAACCCGTGGCACAGTGCCCAGGGAAAAGCCGAGCAGGTAGGCGTGCTGCTCGCGCACGTCCTGGCTGAAAGTCCGGCGCTATTGCGCGACCGGAAGCTCTCCCTCTTTGGCCACTCGCTCGGAGGTGCCGTCATTTACAGCACGTTCCAGGAGATGGCTTTGTTGAAAGCTCAGCAGACCGAAGACGAGTTGAACTATCTGCCGGCGGTAACCAACGCCGTAAGTTTCGCTGGGGCGTTTGTCGTTCCGGACGCACCGGAACCCCTTGCTAACATCGCCAAGGGGCTCGACCCAGAAGGAGGAGCGTTCATCAACGTCTTTTCGTCGCGCGACAACGTCCTGTCGAAACTCTTTTGGATGCTGCAACTACCAGGTCCAGCTACAGCTTCAGCTTCAGCTGCTGGTTGCCAAGCCATTGCGTTTACTGCGCCAAACTGCGTGAACGTCGACGTATCGGACCTCGTTGTCCCGTCCGCAACCAACCACTTTGGCCACAGCTACACGCACGTTATGGACGTTATCAAGGCACGTCTCCAGCCGCATCTCTTCCGACTCTAGAGAAGAAGAGGGGAGACCAAGATCACACAACAACCGACCTGCACAATGGTGTTACTCCAACGCCACCTCCTCTTCTACCTCCTCTCTCTCTCTCTCTCTCTCTCTCTACTGGAATATGCTGCCATACACTTGCTTTTCTTTCGCGCGGGTCTCCGCATCGTGTGCTCGTTTGAGGTCCTGCAGCAGCCGGATCTCCTTCCGCACCGCTGCGTTCTTGGGCTCCTCCTTCAATAACGCACTCAGCAGCTCGAAAGCACGCTCGTACTGCTTGAGTTGCACCAGCACTTGCGCCTTCCGGAACCGCGCTTTGCTGTGCTGGGGCTGGAGCGCCAGCACTTGTTGACAGCACTTGAGCGCCTTGTTCAGCTCGACTCCAAGGCGGACGTAGCAGAGCGCCATGTTGGCCCAAACTGCGACTTTCAACGCCTCAATCTGCTCGCCCTGGACTTGCGTAGCCGTCAGGTCCGTTGTGGTCTGGGCGTACTGCGACATGGCGTCCCCCGCAACGGAGAGACCGTTGACGTAGGCGAACACTTGGGCGTATGCTCGAAGAGCGCGTTTGAGCTCGTTCTGGTGGACAAACAGGTTGCCCTGTCGCTTCAGCAGCTCGGCCTGACCGATTTTATCGGGTACGGATAAACGCCCTAGACGCGGTTTCCATCCGTGGAGGAGCTCATCGTCCGGAATTTCTGCCATGTTGGCGTGGAGCGGTTCAGGTGGCAATCGTTGAGTTTTCTGTTCAAGTTTGGTGGAATATTGATTAATTTGGGTAGATATTGATACGGAGGCGTTGCGAGTTAGGCGATCATCAGCCAGTGCGTCACGATATCTTGTTGGTAGTGGACATGATTGAGGCTCTGATTGGTTGCCATGGATTGAATCAGGCTGAAAAGCGCAACAACGTATCGGCAAACGCGACAGGGTCAAATGACTTGGAAATAGTAAGGGAGAAAGCCACGACGACTGTTGATTGAGGCATTTTTTTAGTGTAAACTTTCCTCAGTAAACTCCGGGTCTGGCTACTAATGGGCGTAGCATGACTCGGAGCTTTTCTAGCATAAGCTTTCGAGCTGTAGCACGGCACCTCACCTACAAAATGGCTCTGACCTGGAGCAAATGCTTTGGAGCAGATTATTGGATTCGAGCGATGCACAGCAATGATGGCTTGCTCGTGCTTGATGATGTGGTTTAGAGGCTTCTGATCGAACAAGGAGGCATATCAATGAGTAAGCTGAGCTCATCAGACTGCTCGATAGCAGTATGACAAACAAACAGTAGACTCTGACACCAACTGTAGAGTCGCATATGGCGCAACAAACTGAACGGGACATGATAACTATGCGCAACTTATCAACCAACGAAGGCTGTTCAACGTGTATGATCAAGATACTAGAAAAACCAAGATCTCGCGGTCGTGCGAGTCACGAAACGGTGACCACTCGATCCTATCGACAGTAGCAAGTGAAGATGCTGAGTTCAGTGAAGTCGCTCCATTCCTGGATTTCTTGTCCTCATCCTCGTCCTCGTCCTCATCCGAATATGAAGTCGAAAATAAGACCGAGCTCAGACGAGAATCGTGGAGTTTTCGGGGGCATACAGCATTCGTTCTTTACTTTGTAGACCAGGTCTAAGAAGTTGAAAGTGGTGTTACTCCAGGGAATGTGTAGGTCGCAGTGAGGCGGAACGGCGAGTTCAAAAGCATCGACAAAGCCGCGGCTCGCAGGGCTGGCACATTCCAGGCATGTGGTGATTCTTTGACGGCACCATGGCGGTATAAAAGCCATCACCTGTGCCGTTGACTCAAGTCCAAATGGTCGAGCTCATCTCGAACACTTCCTTGATCGATTTTAGCGCATCTACTTTGTGGAAAATCGTGCACGGAATGATACCCGAGTCTCCGCTAATGCGGTATCAGCCTTGCCACTGGCGGGAGCGACGAAAGCGAGAACGAGAGCAGCGATTGTCAAGAACCTGGCCATTTTGAGTGGTGGGGTCGGAAGTGGGGAAAGGCAAATTGCTGATGGACCTTTGGTTGACTGACTGACCGGGTGAATCAGGTCTGTAGAGCCAGTCTTTCCGTAAAACTGGTTGACCCGATACATCTCACATCCTAGTAAGTGTTGGTGTCTCAGGGGTGAGAGGCTCAGACCGTCTATGCTAGCTACTCATCACTGATGAGATGTCTGGTTGTGTAGTAACCACCTCGTGTCATCTACCATGACACAGTCTCGCTACTCCTAGCTTTCTCATTCTGCTGGCTGGCGTCGGGCTTCACGGCGGGGCACTCCCAAAACGGCCCGTGGAAACCGTCCGTTGACCAAGTCCGGGATTCGATTCTTGTGTGCACTCTACTGGATGGCGGGGTGATTTCTGGCCTCGGGCTGTAACTTTTAGTATGAGCAATGGCGGAATCTCCGAATGATGAATTTGGACGGTAAATTTGGGTAAGCACGGCATGGAAGGCATTGCAGCATACCTGACTCAAGCATCAAGAAATAACTAACAACTGATGGTGAACGTCGTGAGATCATGAGTTGAAATCATGTATGGTTCATAGATCCTGACTTCCCACCTGTCCCTGCATCCTAGAGCGATCCTGCCAACGTCATATACGGATACAGCAGGTGCACAGAGGGTAGATATAGTCTTTTTACAGGTGCAGAACCAGATTCAAGACCAGAACTGCTCCGAGACTATCTGCAGGGGACGAACGAAAACCAGACTTTAAGATTGCTCACTATACTGAGAAAGATGACGGAGAATGCATTTGGAGTTCTCTGGCGGTAAGGCGTCTTTTGCTGCATGGAAGCTTCGTGCTGATGGCACACGCGGCGGATTCTTACACGTTACTTGGGGGACTTGACACACAAGTAAGTACAAAAGCTTTGCTTCCCCACCTTTAACTGACGACCTTGTTAGAGTTTGACAACACCAACATAGCCTTCATGTAGCGCATGGGCACCTATTGTAGCTGTTGATTTGTGCAATGAACCGAAAGCTAGTTAGAGCGGTTCTGCGAGACTGTTCAAATATGCTTTTAGGGCAAATAAAGTATTGAACATGGGTTCGTAGGAGGCTGCAAAGTGTGGTTGTGCGGACCAGGTGTGGTATGATCTGCTTGCCGATGACGAAACAGTGCACCACCATTTGTGCTCATTCACAGCCACTGTCTCCAAATAAAGTGGAAGCCTGATATTGAGTAGCTGGGAAGAGTTTACTGATGAAAAGGTGGGAACTGAATTAGGGATCCTTCTTGTGTATAAAAAGAAAAGAGCCGCTAGTCATTGTAAACAAACGTTTGCAATAACTTTCAAGGCCCGTTCTCCCGTCAATTTTGACCTTATTTACGTAATCTGGATGGCAGACCGCTTTTGGGGCAGAGTAGCGTGTTAGCAATCCTGCACAATTATCACCAGAGGTGCGATAGTCTCGACAAGCACAGTCTATGTTGCTATCAGGCGAAGTCTTGATATACAAGCGGACTATCAATCAGTGTTTAGTTTGCATACTATTTTTATTAAGGCCGCATTCGAACGAACGGAATCACTTGGGCCACTCGCATGTAAGTAAGTACGTAGCGTCTCCTCAATCATTGCGTTATCCAGCGAGACCATGATCAATCGATCAGCACCATGATAGCGAACGGTTCCGTGGGCCGACTTGGAAATAGTTCGCCACTTCTGCTGGAAAAATGCAGCCCGGCCACCATGTTGCAAGGCTCCACACAGGTATCGAGTCCGAGTTCGTCTGCAAGTTCGATCCTGAGTGCTATTTCACGTCTCAAAGCAAGAATCGCTGCCAAGGGATGATCAAGCAGGTGTTGATCCAACAATTTTATTGCACACTCTCGCATTCATAAGCTAGAGTGCTGTGTAGCAGGCGATTTACGCGTAGGCAGCACTACTGGCTTCATGTGGTTTCCGACACACACGCTTCACGAACTCATACGACGTCACCATGAGGATACCGGATGGACCCATAGCCAGTAGCCGCTGCAGCACCAGCAAGAACAAACACGTTACGTTAGCTTGGCAGGCAAAATGTGTGTTCAGACTAATAACATACCGCGGAGAGGCCTGTCATGAGACCCATCGGCCCGTCGTTCCTTAAAATATACTTGAGGGTGTCGATAGCGCCGTACTGCGTATATACTTGCGCTTTCGTCCTCACAATGTCCATGGGATTTGTCAAAATGCCAGTGATGATGCCGGCACTTGCGCCACTCATTCCCTGCGCCAGCACTGCTGACACCCGATCATAACACACCGTTAGCTTTGTTCATCATTAGATAATTATCACATGACCTCACACACCTTGTTTCCAGAATGAATCGACAGGCCAATTCTTGATCAGTTTATAGTACACGGGTGCAAGAAGTCCGTAAGATCCCCACCAAATCGAGGATGACGGCGCGTACGTCGCGATGGACGGCATGCATCCCCTATAGAATCCACGGACCCCTTCAGCCCGAAATATCTGCTTGGTCACAGCAACAAACCCTTTAGCCCGTTCCCGCGTCTTCTCTACATCCTGCCCCTGCCCACTGAGCATCATACGCTGCGACACAATGTCCAACGGGACAACAACTGTCTGCGACACGAGCGACGCCACGGCTCCACCCACGAAATTAGCCCCTTTCTCGCCCACCTACTCGCCACATGAATGCAGTATTGAACCCCATCACAAAAGTAGCAGAACCAGTCACAACAAAAGCATGAGTACCACAACTTCCATGCCCATAAAAAGAACAGTCAAATAAAAGCCACAATAACAATAGTAACAATAACAATATAACAATAACAAAAAAACAATAATCACAACAAGTCTAACAGCTCCTGCGGGGTCCCTACCGTCGTGTATCGCTTGCAAACTTCGCGTGACTTTTCATAGATCGAAATGTAAAAGTTGCCCGTCAAGACGTTCGCCGTGCTCGCACCAAAGCCTTTGTACAGTCCACGCGCCCCTTCCTGTCGAACGATCGTGGCGAACGCATTGAACGTGCCCGAATAAAGCGGATTGTGCTTGGACTGGACTTGGAGCCGCGTCTTGACCAAATTACTCGGGTACACGGCGGCACGCACCGCGAGGAACATGGACGGTCCAACAATGTAGTACTTGAGCTTGTCGATTTCGTCCCATGAAATGTCCTCGAGCACATATTCGTCGTCGGACGTGGTGGTCACGCCGTCCATTTCCGCAGGTACGGACCTTCGGGAGGAAAATTTGGGAAAAAGTTGACAAGAGTGAAATTTGATAGTAGGACGTCGAAAAGCTTGTTGAATGAAGCCGCTGAAAAGTTGAGGAAAAGCGAATTTTGGAATTTGTCAATGTGGCATTAAATGCGAATTCACACTATATTTGCATACGCTATTTAGAAACGTTTTGCAAAAATGTGTGCGAGGGTCTCTATATCTACTTTTCGTCTATGTGTGTTAGAGACCAGGTGGGGTGTACCGTCCATGTCTCACTAGATGCGACCTGCCAAGTTCACATTCTCACAGGTAGATGATAGGCGAAGTAAGTAGGTGGCACGCATTTACTAGGCAGCAGGAAAGACGTCAAACATTGTGTCTAGTGTGATGATGTTGCACGCAGTGGGCGTAGGTAGGACTTCCGACTGTCTGACAATGGTGGCTGGTTTAGGCTGTACATAATGATGAATTTCCGAGTGCCTCAATTTACCTTCGATGCACCCGGGCTACAAAAACGAGGATTCGACCACGTTATCGACGATAAACCACGCATAAACTACCCGCGCCAAAAGTAGCTAGCAACCAGCGAAGAATCTGCCTACCTGCGTCATAGGGGACAACGACGGTGTTTTGATAGCCAAATTAATTTACCAATCAAAACATAAGATGCAGAGGCACGTAGCGCATCCAGGGCTTCTTCTTGACCAGTGAAAAGTATGGCAACCTCGAAAGCCGTCACTTTGAACCAGCGATATTGACTTTGTGGTCACCCTTGCTTAGCAATATTTTTACATGCAGACGATCAAAATCGTCAAGTCCTGTATTTTTATGGTAATTCCTCGTCGATTAGGGCAATCCTTTTGTATTTTGTTTCCTGCGGCGATATCGACACCAGTCATCCTAATTTTTCAGAACCGATCGGGTGCTTTAGTATGCTTAACTACCTACGCGACTCGAGCTACGTAAATTAAAGGCACAGCGAAATTGAAGCAGCGAGTGTCTCGTACCCTGCGACGGACAGTCGCAATGAGGTTCCATTCTTTACTTCTATCGTTATGGCTGATGCCGACACAACCACCCTTCCAGCAAATTGAGGCCAAGTTTGCGACATGTGGTACCAGTACATGTTTTCTGGTGTCACATCCACTTGTAGTTGTGATCGACACAGTGGCTTATGGTAGCAAAGTGTATCATTTTACAGGAAAACCCGATTGACAAAGGCGTAGCGTGCGCCTATAGGAAAGCATATTAAAGACCTTGCACGCAGGGTATACGAAGTATAGAAGCAGGCCTGTAACGAAACTCGACTTATCTTGAGTCCGAGGTAGCAAATAATTAGTGACTGTGGGCAAGGTGAATGTCGATCTTTCGAAAACAAGTTTCTGTCTGTGTGTGGCCTTAAATAACGCAAGGTGCACCTTGTTGGTAAGTATGCGTTTCAGGAGGAGACAAAAGGCGGACAAAAAGATTCTGTATTGCTTCTTACTGGTTCTCTCTTCTCTGCCGTGCTCTCCAAAGCCCTCTGCTCCAGTCATTCACCTCAAACGCATTCTGACTCTACATGATTACAATCACCATTATGCTTGTCACTCTGCGTCCACCTTTTGCGCACAGCGAGTTTATGACATCATGTTCCAAATAAACCTCAAGTCACCGGCCTACCACATCGATCGTCTTTTTGTACCCTTGCACCCGTTTCCAACATTTTCATCATTCCTCCTCGGTCATGACTTGCCCTCACACTCGTTTCATTTCTTATACTATCATACGTCCTTGCCCTCCCCCATCCTTGAGCTCCTTAAGCGCGCATCGACCATGACGCACACTCCTACGCAGCCATCTTGTCCCCTCTCTCTCCTCTGACCCTTCACTGCATCCAGCTCTTACTGGAGCCACATCAGACTCAGGAGCGTCGCTAGCTTGGTCGCATCAAGAGCTTTAGTTATTAGGGCAGCGAGCATCAGCTCGGACAGAACGTACTTCGTCGTGACGATACCGCGTTGAGCGAGGTTGCACAGATGCTTGTGCCTCACGTCAATGCGCTCGTCCTTGATCGAGGAGGCTTCGTCTTCGATCTGGCTGATGACTGCTTGTTTGTCCACGTACATCAGCATAGGGACAATCGGCGCCATGCCCACCTCTCCGAGCATCTTTTGCAAGCCAATGAGCTCGCGCGCGACTTCCGACGGCGCGACGAACTTGGACTACATTGTCAAAAGACTTACCCCGTCCTGTTTCTTCGCATCCCACGACACCGCCATCCCATTGAGTAGCACAACGCCTCCCGTTGGCGACTTGCTATCCGCCCTGTCCGCTGCGTAGTCGGCGTCGCTGCAAGCTTCGAGCTGCAACGTGTCGCGATTCGTTTGCGCCAGTGCCATCTCGAGATTGAGCGTCACGTTGCCCTTATGGTATCGCTCGACGCGCTTGGCAAGCTTCCAGTCGAGCACTCACGGCGCGTGCGTCTGTCTAGTCTCTTTGTGCACTGCAAATGCAATGTCCGGCCTCGACGAGCAAATGGAACACGTTTTAGTCGCATCATGTTGTTTGCTGCTTGAGACTTGGATGGTAAATTGAGAACTAAATGTATTGCAGCCTTTGATCCTAGTTATCTCTGTGTCCGTTACTTTCAGTTTCTTCTGCGTAGGTTTCGTGTCATTACTCGTCCGTTACGATAGTCGCTTACCTTTATCACTAGTCGCGCCCTTTCACATCATGGGTCGCGTTCCTTCAACATCACGAGTCGTTCTACTTCAACACTCCTTCCCGAGTGGTCATACTTACCCTGAAAGCATCACAAGTCCGCGAAGCTGGCTAAGTCGTGGCGCTGGGAGGGTCTTGGTCAGTATGTCCGCACGCATACTCTTGGATTCGCAGTACTGCACCTTTAGCATCTTCTTTGTTTCCAAATCTTTTACGAACTTGAATCGCACATCAATGTGCTTTGCTCGACCAGACGCGTCCTCTCCCTTGATCTGAGCGATGGCTGCTTGATTGTCGACATGCAATATTGAACCAGGCTGAACCGATACGCCAATCTCCTTTAGCAGTTCAATGATACCCATCATTTCAGCAGCGGTTTGTGAAGCCGCCACAAACTCGGCTTCCATCGTTGATAAGGCGACACACTTCTGCTTCTTGCACAGCCATCCCACCACCATTCCGGCCACCATCATCACACCACCGCTGACTGACCTCCGGTCAGTATTGTCTGCGGCGTATTAGGCGTCGCTGTAATCTAAGACCAGCACGCCGTTGTCCTTGATTGCTTCCTTTCCTCCGTGCATTATGAGCTTGAGTCCCTTTGTGCCCTTCCAATACTTGGATATCTTCTTTGCCAAACGCCAATCGCCTTCGGTTGGCGCGTGCGAACGCTGCGTCGCTCGGTGTATCGGAAACACAATGTCTAGGCGTGTGCACCGGGCGATCCACAGCAGACTGCCCACCAGCGACTGAAACGTCTGCACAGTCGGTCTCTGTGGCGAGCCACTTCGACCAGACGGTAGCAGGGTTATTTCTTCGTATCCATCTTCTCCACATATCGGCACTCTGACCGCCGCCGAATCTTTAAGTCCAAACTTGTCGAGCATCTCGTCGATGGTGATTTCTTGATCTAGTGCCCATCCGGTCTTGGCGCTGTAATTGAACGCGATGCCAAGGAACTTGGTTACCACGCCGAGATCCTTCAACTCAATGACTTGCATGTCGACAAACAAGTCGTTGACCTTATTTACATCCGTTCCAGTCGCCAGCACATCGTCTACGTAGATCCCCACGAGCGTTTTACCGTCGGTCTCTGTCTTTATGTAGAAACAACTGTCTGTATAACACTGACTGAGACCCAGCGACATTAAGATGTCGTGAAGCATCAGGTTCCACAGCCGGCCCGACTGTTTAAGGCCATACAGGCGCTTCTTGAGTCTTAGCGCGAGCTGCCTCTTATCCCGCACGCCATGTTTTTTCGTAACAACTTGGCATCTATATTCATTCCCTGTGAAATATAAAGCAGAATTTCCAAGTCATCTTCTTTCTCTGCTTCGACATAAGCGCTCGGCACATCGTCGTGTCGTGCAGGTACCCCCATAGCCTTGACACAGAAGTATCACCTTGCCAGAGATCATCTCTATCACAGCCGAGAAAGTGTAGGTGTAATCAACACCATATACTTGTTCGTCGCCGCGCGCCACTAGATTTGCCTTCAATGGATCGATAGAACCGCGTGCCTGTATTTTAAGCTTGTACACCCATTTACTGTGCAGTAACTTGGAATCGCGTGGTTTTTGAATAACCTCCCAGGTATCGTTGTGCTCTAACGCTTCAATCTCCGTACACATAGCCTCTTCCCACTGCTTGACTCGAGGGTCTTTCACCGCCTCGCGATTGTTCTTGGGATCTTTAAGATTGATCGCTCTCACTCGACTCACCGGTACGTGTTTAGCACCCATATTTCGAGTTTGCATCCGAGTTCGCGTTTGCTCTTCCGCGGGCAGTAGCTCGTCCCCGCTTTCCGCTTCTTGTAGGTCCGTGTAATTCTTGCTCACATCGGGTTCCTTCTCTTCTTCAGAAAATTTTCTCTTTGACTTGACTGCGTCCTTTGTTGACTCGGCAGAGTCATGTTTCGTCTTTGCTGACGCCCGTTTCGATGGAAGCAAAATTACTGCGTGGGGCTCCTTCCGCTTCGCGGCATCGTCGAGATCTGACACATCGCGCCGCAGCATAGGGTCTTCTTGCTCAAGCTGCGCCTGTAGCTGGGCGTTCTGCTTACTGTTAAGCGTATCAACGTTTCGAATGAGCTGCGTTGTAATAACAGTCCTCTACTTAGGCAGATACGCCCTGAACCCCTTAGTCTCATCGTTTTTTGCAATGACCACGCCAACCTGGAATCTTGACTTCCATGATTTCTTTCCGGGGTCCTTTAACGCTGAGCACGGGCTTCCGAAGATCACCAGTCCACCAGATTCGATATGTTACCTGTCAACATCTCTAGCGGCGACATACGCTTCGGGTTGGCACTGCACGAGCTTCGATTTAGAACATAAGCTGCATACTCGACGGCGTCGCCCCAAAAGAAAAAAAGGCAAGCCGCTCGAAAACAGCATACATCTTGCCGCGTTGAGATAGTTCTGTGCATTTGCTCAGCTTTACCATTTTTTAGGCTTGATTATCGGCCTCGCTGAGTTGACGTCTCACTCCAGCTGACTTGCACAACGGATCGACGCTGACGTACTCCTTGCCATCGTCCGCAACACATGGACGCGACAGTTGAATCTCTTCTCGTAATAGAGTAGAAAGTGCCTAAAATTCTTTGTAGCCTCGATCTTTCTCTTGGCGACGAACACGCGTACGCAATTCGTCGAGTAGTCGACGAAGTTGATGAGGTATCGATTTCCGCGACGGTCCTTTGGAGTCATTGGTCCTTTGATGTCGCTACCGATAACACCCCCGAGCTTGTCGATCGGTGCATTCCTTCCTGTGTCCTTCTTGGGCTGGTTGTTCTTGCTCTGTTTGCCCTGTGCGCAAGTCAAACAATTTGGCCTCGTTCGGTCGGTCAACCGGATACCTGAACCTGCCGAGTCGGCCATGCGTACGATAGTATCGTAGGAAAGATGGCCCAGTCTTTGGTGCAATTCCAGCAGTGTTGTATCCGTGACTGCTTCATCTATTTCGTCGAAACCTTCTTGCACGGCTAAGTTGACCACTCGTACTCGTGCATCCGTTGTGCTCTCACCCATGACGTCAATAGTCAGGACATTGTTGCGGCGGAAGACTTCGAATATCTTCCTGTTGTCCTCTTGGCGCACCACATAACTTTGGCCGCCTTCTCGCATGAGGAACACACCACGTACCTCCAATAAACCATAGCTGATGATGTTGTCAGCAAGGTTTTCAGCTTAGTAAACCTAATCAAGGTTCACGATAACCTCTTTTCCATTGACCACCGTCTTCAGCTCGGCCGTTCCCACTTTGGTCACTCGGACCATCGTGTTGTTTGCCGCGCGACATGAATGGTCGCAATCCTTCACGTTCTTCAGCATCATCGCATCTTTCACAAGGTGCACGCTCGAACCGCTGTCCAGGATCCACGAGTCAGAGTCAGCTGTCATACCGGTACCAATGGCTAGCGCAACCCGGCTTGAAATCGAATTGCCGTCACCTTTTTTTTGGACAGTTGGCCTTAATATGACCAGCCTCGCCACAGCCATAACATTTGCGAGAATCGGCACTTTCAACCCGTGCAACGTATCTCCTTTCGCGCCCTCCTTGGTCGCTTCGTCCACCGCCGGGGTAGCGAACTACTAGCGCGCGGCTTGATCGAACAGCTCGGTCTCGGCCTCCTCCGCTATTCGTCTTCTTCATGCTAATTTCAAAATCAATCGCGAACGCAACAAGCTCAGCAGCTTGTACAAGGTAATCAGGTCGTTGAGCATTCATCCGAGTTAACATCGCGGTTTGAATGTGCGATGGTGCCGACTTGCATAAGCATTCTAGCACACTCTGCTCCGAATTTCCCGACCGCTCTGCCACGTACACAAGGTAGCGGTAGTGCTTGGGACATGTCTTGTTTTGATCCTTCTCGCTTATCATTAGCTCAATTCCTTTAGTAGATGGAATCGGCGTCATGTACAGCAACAGCATGCTGTTCAGGACGTGTTCGAGTGTGTTCGACACCGACGACCACACCGGCAGCATCTTCTCGTAATAGCTGAGTGCCGCTCCATCCAGCTTACCACTCAGCGCGAGGACCTTAAACTCTTCTGGCCAATCACCTCCGCTCATCCTCTGAGCTGCACCGACTCGTTGTAGGAAACGCATTCCCCGCGCCTTGAAGTCGGCACCCACGCCTGGGTATGTCACCTTACCCGTAAACTTGGCAAAGCCGGGCCAGTCCAGGTCCCGAGGCTTAGGTATCTTTAACCCATAATCTTCACGCGGCGTAAAATTCGGCGACGATCTCGGTGGCTGATTCTGGTTTACTTGCTGCGGCGGCTGATTAGGCGGCGGCATGCATGGCGTTACAGGCGGCATGGCATTCTGCATGGGCTCATCTAGTGAGCCCCTCCTCATCCGACGGTCCCGCGCTCTGATAAAGTCGGTGAGCGCGCTTGAACCATTGAAGAAGTGCTCGGCAGGATGCGTGGGAGCAGCATCGGCACGGCGACTCATCTGGTCTTGCATCTTCATCTGGTTTGCCATAAACTGAGCTTGTTGCTGTGCCATCCCTTCGAGGAGTCCTTCAAGCCGGTCCATCCGCTCAGAGCTCGCATCAGAAATACGACTCGCGCTCTCTTGGGCTTCGGACGCGTCCAAAGCCGATCGCGTCTCCTCGCGCATCCCGGACGGGTCAGCAACCACGTTTTGTGCGTGAGTGTCCGTCCTGGCGACGTCGCGTACCGGGGTTTGCTGGTGAGGAGTCGAGTCGTTGTCGTTTGGGCTCATAACCTGTTGTTTGCTGCTTGAGACTTGGATGGTAAATTGAGAACGAAATGTATTTGAGCATATAATCCTAGCTATCTCTGTGTCCGTTACTTTCAGTTTCTTCTGCGTAGGTTTCGTGTCATTACTCGTCCGTTACGATAGTCGCTTACCTTTATCACTAGTCGCGCCCTTTCACATCATGGGTCGCGTTCCTTCAACATCACGAGTCGTTCTACTTCAACACATCACCTCCTGCACTAGTCGTCTCCAGCAGCGCGGCATCGTCGCTTAAAATCTCGAAGCATTCAGATCCGATCGACGTCTTCGTCGGGTTCGCATCGCTCATCCCATGAGCTCGCAGGAGTTCCTTAATGGACTCCCCTGGTCAATGCGATATGCGCGGTCACTTCTGAGCTCCACTCGCACCCCCAGAAACTTATGAGCGTGACCGAGATCCTTGATAGACAGCAACACCAGGCTCGCGAAGAAATCCTAGACCGCCGCGACGCTCGTTCCAGTCGCCAGAAGGTCGTCGACGTAGACGCCAACAAAGACCAGCTCGTCGCCGTCGCGTTTATGGTACAGGCACATGTCTGAAATACATCGCGCGTACACTGAATCGCTGAATCGCGCGTGGAGCAACTGGCTCCAGAGGCGACCGGCTTCCTTTAGCCCGTACAGGCTCCTCCTCAGCTCCAAGACGACCTCGCCTGGATGCGCAGCACCTATATTGCGCAGAGCACCCCCTGACACGCTCGTCCCACGTGGCGCCTGCAGGCAGATGTCGAGGTGAGCTTCCTTTTCGGCACGCACGTGGAGTTCGGGATGTCTTTGTGATTGGCAGAAACGCCCCACGTTGCAGCGATAGCCAGCAATACATTTGCCGTCGAGATTTCCATCACGGCGGCAAAGGTTAGGTTGTAATCGACGCCGAGCACTTGCTCATTTCCGCATGCGACAAAGCTCGCACATCGCATATCTTCAGCCCTCCGTCGGCTCCAGTCTTGGTCTTATATACCCACTTAGAGTGAAGAGCGTTCGCGTCCGGGCTGCGCTTAGTCACGCACTACACCTCGTTGCTCTCGAGAGCAACGATTTCCTCTTGCACTGCCTTCTGCCACTCCGCGCGCTTCGAGCTGCGTATGGCCTCGCCATAATTGCGCGGATCGTGCTCAAGGGCTGTGCTGACGACTTCGTTACTCGCAGCTTGATCATACTGGCGCGCAGCTGCTTGCGCACGCTTCGACGCGCCGCGCGTTCCGTGCGCTTGTCGCGACCACGGCTTCTTGCTCTTCCTGCGAGCGCCGCGACCATCCTGTGCTCCTCCATTGTCGTCGCGAGTCCTTACTTCCGCCTCTGCTAGTGGTACTCCTCTTTTGCTTCTCCGGCTCGATCTCCGACCTCCATCATGCGCTGCAGTTGAGCATTCTGAGCATCGGAAAGCGTGGGGATTTTCTTTCCGTGTTGTGTGACGACCACCTTATTTTCGAGCTAGACAAGGACTTTGTATCCCTTTTTCTCCTCGCTTACGCTCACGATGATGCCTGTCTGCAATCGCTGCTGCAGCGAGCTCTTACGTGGGTCGCGATAGACTACTCGACGATCCAAATACGACGATGATGCGCAAATCAGGCGCCTTGCCCGTCAGCACCTCGAAAGGCGACGCTCTCTTTGCGTTCGCTCGCGTCGGACTGCGGTTCAAAATGTGAACGGCGTACTGAATCGCGCCTCCCCCTAAAACGGCAACGGCAACGCACACGCAAACATCACGCTGCACGAAAGGATTAGCGCCGTCCGATGCATCCTCTTCGCATTTATGTTTGACGCCTGGTTGCGCGCTTTAGCCACTTGGCGCGCGACACCCGTGCGTTTGCAAAACAAAAATTGACGTTGGTCATTCGCCACCGCCGTCCATCAGCAGCACAAGGACCTTGAAACCGAAAAGCTTCTTGAAGTGAACGAGGAAAGCATCAAACTGTTTTGCCACCGCGTCCTTCGTGCGCGCGAGGAACGTGCGGTAGTAGTTCGACTTGTGGTCGATAAAGTTTACCAGATATCGATTACCAAGGTGGTCCTGCGGCTTCATCGGGATGTTGAGGCCCGAGCAGATGAAACCGCCGATCCTGTCGATTGGAGAGTTAGCACCGCTGTCCTGTTGCGACTGCGCGTTGCGCGTCTGCTTTCCCTTAAGGCATGACATGCACGCCATGCGCTTGTTTCTGGTTAGTCGGATGCCCGACGCTGGATCGCGCGCCGTGCGCCCGATTGTATCAAACGCGAGGTGGCCAAGTCGCTGGTGCCAGTGCAGCAGCGAGGCTTCGTGCGCACCGTCGGCATCATCATTCGTCGCAAGTGCTTCGAGCGCGAATATGATCACTTCTTCAGAGCTGTGCCTCTCGCGTGTCGATGTCGTCTTATTGTATAACACGTTGCTGTAGATCGCGACGTCAAACGCGACTGCACCGTCGTTTCACCGCGCTAGTGCGCGTTTGACACTGTCATAAACGAGGGCAAAATCTCTGCTCTACAGCTTCCCGTAGAAAACGATGTTCATCGCCAGACGCGGCGCAAAATAAACTTCACTCAGCGCCACACTCGTCTTCGCACCGCGCACTAGTAACTCGAGGCGCACACTCCCGACACGCGTCATCCGCAGAGTCTCACCATCTGCCATGGTGATCTCGTGGACGCAGACAACCTGTTGAACAAGCAGCGACTCGTCGTTCACGAGGTGTATGCTCGCGCAGCTGGCAAGGATACGGACGCCTCGATCAATGCCAATCGCATCGTATTCAGCGAGCACGAAACCGCCCGCGCAGGTTGCAGCTGGCCCGTTATCGCTAGTGTCGCTCGCACGAGCCGTTTTTCTGCGCGCTCTCATCTCCTCCTTGCTCTCGTTTCCGTTCGCGCGAGCCGCTGACGCTTTCTCCGTGAGCACGAGCACCGTGTTGCCGCTTCCGCTAGTGTTGCTTGTCTCGTCGTAAAATACAACTCTTGCCTTTCATTCGTACACGGCGTGCCCCGTCCTGCCGCAGCGAAAACACGTTTGAGTGTCTTGGTGCTTCGCCTCAACAAGCGCCGCAACGACCTCGCGACCGACCTCGACGCTGCCGAGCTTGATCGATTGCGCAAAGTGCGCCAACTCTTAAGCTTGGCGCAGGTAGTCAACCCGCGTCGGGTCGTGCTTCGCCCATATAAAGATCATCAGTCCGGTGACGCGAAATGCACGATATTGTCGAGCACGAGCGAGTCGGCGCACCGCGCGCGTCGCTGACTGCTACCTTGTAAAGAAAGTGCTCGGCCCAGATTCGTCGCACTTCTTCATTTTTCATAAACAGGTTCATGACCTTGCTCGCCGCTATTGTAGTCTTAAGCGTCATGTGCAGCTGCTATATGACGTGCTCGAAGCTTGGATTCTGCACTCACCAAGTGTCGACCTGTTTGTGGTAGTAGCGCTCCGCAGTACCGGCCAAAAGATGTCCAAGGAGATAGACCCTCACATCATCCGTCCACATAAGCCGCAAGACGCCTCAGCGAGGTTCACGGCGCGCATGAAGGTGTGTCCCCAGTTAAAAAAGAACGCTCTTGTATCTTTTGTAAAGATTCTTCTCATCAAAAAAGCGAATGTTTAGCTTTCGCTGACACGCGGTCGGCATTCCGTAGTTGCCGATCGCTGCTGCCATGTTCGTCGCAGATAACGGCGCCTCTTGGCGCGGCGTGGCCATAGGCTTGGCTACTTGTGCCGACGTGCGATGTTGAGCTGGCGACTGTCCGCGCGGCGGCACGAGAAAGGCGAACATCGACTCGCCGTCATCTGGACAGCGCGAGCACTCGCGGTGTGCTACTAATTTTTCTTTAGCATCCCAAGTGCTTCGACAGTCATGAGACTTCCACGCATGTTCACTCCAAGCTTGGACGCAAACATGACGCTCTCGACGGCTCTAAGCGTACTCTAATTTTCGTTCCGGACGCGCTGCGAAGACTCGAGCTTTGACAGGCGGTCGGTCACTGCGGCGACGGCCGTTAGGATCTCGTCATCGGTCTCCTCGTCCTTTCGTGGGCGGGCGTCCCTTTAAAGACTGCTGGCTGTTCGCCGACGAGAGCACACGCCCTGGTGAACCACGCCCTGGCGCCGCCCGCGCGACACCTACTGGTGTCTTGGCAGTCGTTTCAGTTGCTCCAGCCATTGGACTCACAACCTGTTGGCAAGTATGCGTTTCAGGAGGAGGTAGTAGGTGGACAAAAAGATTCTGTATTGCTTCTTACTGGTTTTCTCTTCTCTGCCGTGCTCTCCAAAGACCTCTGCTCCAGTCATTTACCTCAAACGCATTCTGACTCTACATGATTACAATCACTATTTAGCTTGTCGCTCTGCGTCCACCTTTTGCGCACATCGAGTTTATGACATCATGTTCCCAAATATATCTCAAGTCACCGACCGACCACTCCGATCGTCTTTTCGTGCCCTCGCACCCATTTACAATTTCTTAAATACACCCTACACCTCTAACTAATGGCGATGTAGCCTGGTCCCTTTTGCGGATGTGTCAATAAGTAACTCTAGGTGCACCACCTTACACCTTACTCGTCGCAGGAGGTGTGTGGACTCAGCCTACGTCCGGTTATGTGTCTGATGGTTATGCAAGTAGTACCTTGTGCGTCGTAGTAAGTGCGATATAGCCTGAAAGAATGCGTCTCTATGTAATGATCAGTGTACCTTATACGTTGAACTAAGTGCAATGTTCCCTATCCCCTCCTCAGCGCACTATTTGTGCAGCCCTAAAATGAGGTCAATATTTGCTATATCAAAGAATGCTTGAGTTACACACACGCACCAATGACCGCAAGTGATCGGCTCCAAAGTCACCAAGGTCGTGCAGAAAGCTAATAAGCAATTGTTTAAGACTTAATGGCGCGAAGCCTTAGCAGCTAATAAGCAGTGGTTCGAAACTCAATGGCTTTGAAGGCCTGGCACCTCCGGCCAAATGTATATGCAAATTAATTCACGTCTGAAGTACTAGGTATCTCAAAGAGCAACACATCATAGTCACCTATTTCTTAGAAAGAGCTTTCTCAATCAAGTTTCACTTTCTTTTTAATTAATAATATTTCGTCGGGCGCACCTTACTGTTGACAAAAATGCCGAGCAGGATTTTCTACTATCTCACGATTCTCTCATTCGTCTCTATCGAACATTAACAAGCAACTTTTTTACAACGATAGGAAATATAGCACGCGAAAGTCATTGAGTAGAGATAATAGCCCCAAAATCCCCGTCTGAGTAGAGACTACACTTCCTGTAACGGGGCACTTTTAGCTTAGGTGCCACGAATCTTTTCGTACACTCGTACGTGCAGAGGACGATAATCTACTTAAACTACTAGTTCAAGTAAAGGTAAAAAGAGATCTGTACTTAATTTAGCTAAGCTATCAATTTAAGTTTAGTCTTTGTCGAACTACATTGATCTACATCGTCGTATGAAGACAACTCGCTCACCAGGATCATTGGTTGGCAGCGACTGATGGTAACCTTGGTTGTAAAGTCTTTTACCAATTAATCTTCAAGCATCACATGAATATTATCCTAAGGGATAATATTCCTTCGATATAACCTATCTTAGGTAAGATTGGCAGAAGATTGTCACGCGAGACAATCTTCCGATTGACACCGTTTGGTGTCAATGTCATGTAACGAGCTACCCCGTTACATCACCCCCTTCCTTAAACATCAATCACCTTAGTTATTAAATAAAAACGATTGGAGAAAGAGTGAGTAACATTACAACACTCTAGGAATAGGGACCACTTGTTGGTCGAACCCCACTAATTTGTCAATCCCATCGAACAAATTCGAAATACATGCAGTGCGCTGCCATAGCAGACAAGAAGGCGGATGCACGCATGCGTGCAATTGAAGAAAGTGCTTCTCAATCCTCAGCAGCAGTTGATTGTTCACCTGCTGTTGCAAGTGATCAACATGCAGTGCCTGTTGCGACTAGTCCACGTTGTGAGTCACCACGTGCGACAAAATAATCCGCTGCGTCTGCAGCGGGTGCTACGACTCGCAAAGCGGATGAGCCTAAAATAGAGCTCATCTTTTCTGGCAAGTGGGAAGACGCATTCTACGTGAAGGCGGTGCCTCCTGCATCTGGATCTCCCGGAACAGACACTGCAAGAGCCAAGTTGACTGGCAATTAGAAACATAGCGCAATCATGTCCGAGATCTTTAGACCGAGCGATACGTCGGACGAATCCTCGTCTAACGTAAGTCCATCTGACACTAGGACGCGTGGCGATGTTGGGACACACCTGGATGTGACCACGAGAGAAGCAACTCGAGGGATCAAGCTGCAACTTTTGTCAGTGTTCATGCTGGCAACACACGAGAGGAAAGAAACTGCAATGTACTGCACTATGCTCGTCAAGTGGAGTCTCCTTGGATGCCATCATTTAAGAAGTTAGACTCAGTGGCCGGTATGACCACCGAACGGCATCAAATCCGATTGTTGGACAGGAGGCGATTCTGTCCTGCTAATTCCAGAACGAATAGTTTGCGTGCTGAGGAAGAATTCTGCATTGATGTGTTTTCAAATATCGGTGGTACAACACCAACATGGCCGAGACAGTTAGGCTTTAGTGCAAGGATGGAATGCCTTCATCCATAACATCGAGGGCATTGGCCATAAGTCTTGGCTCAATTAACTTGATGCAGCTCGCATCAGATTTGAAAAACGTGACCCAGCCGGTCGATGATACAAGTCGCACCGACTGCCAAGAAAAGCAGGGTTATCAAGTCTCTCGTGAGGCAATCACTGTCCAGGGTGCCTAAACAATGCTAATCGTGCCCCTAGGGATGTTGTAAAATGATCTCAGCTTGAAGCCGTTGGAACGTCTAAAGTACGTTTACCGTTCGTCGGTTGAAACGAAGGACAAGGGAGACGACGGATATCAGAATGGGACGAGTCGACAGACGAAGGTAACGGTGAACAGGTTAGCTGCAACCGCGTGCAGGAATAGCTCAGTCGAAAAATTGCAAAGTGCCAGGCAAGTCGTCTTTAGCCAGAAAGAGCTAAGCTAAGTAATAAATATCATTGTGTGTCAAGGTGTATACATCTGGTGTTATCAGGAACACAGAACTAGCTAGAAGCTCAGCGCTAGCGAGATTGCAACAGGGTTATGAGCCCAAGTCTGGACCAGACTCAAGTGTAACCAAGAAACTGTAACACATTTACAAGCAACGACTGTGAGTGTGTGTGCGAAGAAAGACTCCGTTTGTTTGTGATCACGAACGTTATAGCGTTGAGTCGGCCTGTGACAGAAGTCAAAAGGCGGGAACTCTACTCGAGTATTGTGACAGACAAAATGTCCAACAAGGTGGAGCTGAGCAAATAAAGACGACCTGTGGGTTGGCATGGCCAGTCCTAGGTGAACTTTAAGGGGATGATGAAACTGACTTTTGAGGAGAAAAATTTGTCGGAATATGCTACTGGGGACAAGGTTCTCGCAGTCAACGCAAGTTTAAATGAAGTGAAAGCATTCCGAGAAGCTCAAGCAACGATTAGGCAAATAATTCTTGCTTCTCTTTCGATGTAGATGTGCCAGCGAGTGATGACTAAAGCAACTGGGACCGAAATGTGGAAATACTTGGAGGACTTTTACGAGATAAAGACCAATGGGGCAACGAGAACTAACCAAGAGATTATACTCTACAACAGGCTATCTCAATGAAGTAAAAACCTAATTGGGATGTCGCGCAGCACGCGGAAAACATGTTTATGATCTAAGATCAATTGAAAGATGTGAATGCATGTGTACGGGACCCGATTTTCACACAAATGTTAATTCGGTCGTTACCGGCGAATGCGCGTTTCGATAGAATGAGAGGAATGGTTGAGAGCACCGACGACAAGGTTGACACTTGAGAAAAATTAAAAGATCAGATGTTGCGAATTTATAATTTAACAAGTGTGATCGGGAGCTTGGCACTCATGGTGTCATTGGAAATGTCCAGGACTGTAAAGGCAGTCAATCGTCCAAGAAAGGGTATGCTTTTAGCAGTACACGATCACAAATTGGTGGTAAATGACTTAAATCGACCAATAAAATCCCTTAGAGGACTTCCATAACGACAGATAAGCAGCATGGAACCTGCTTCAATTGTCACAAGCCCGGACACCGCATGAGAAACTGTCCAGTGATGAAAAGACCAGGAGCAAGTGACCAGAAGGTGGCGTTATCAAAGCATCCAAAGAATGAGTCTCGTGACGGACATCAAGAAAAAATGGATGCCGTGAAGTCAGATATCGAGCAACCGCCAGGATCCGATGCTTCCGTAAGTAAAAGCATAATCAATGACTGTGCACACCGATAATGGTGTCTTGACAATGCGTCAAATGTGCACGTGGCTTCCGATTTGCTGTACTTCACTGATCATGAAGCATTTGACCACGATACACAAGTCCAAATTAGACGAGGAATTCAAAAACAATTTACGACCAAGCCGATAAGACAAGGAACTGTTCAGTTACTTGTCCAAAATAGGTCAAATATCAACGAGATAACGCATTATGACGTGTTATACGTTCCTGACAGTATGAATTTGATCTCGCATACGCAAGCCGAGGACCAAGGGATCCCGGTGACTTATTGCAGCTGAATGGGTAAAAAGGTCTATGAACTTTGGCAAAACAATCACAAGCTTCCGAAGATTAACATAGACGATTGTGGTCTCTTTACCTTTCAAGCTATGAACACTTTTTACCCAACGATGAGTGCCGGGGGTGAGGCGCTACGCCAAGAT